GGAGGGGGGGGGTAACGAGTATGCTGAGAACGAGTATGATGAGGGGAGGGGCATTACGAATTGAAATATCAAAGGGGAGGGAAAATGAAGTCTGTAAAATAAATATTTTTGTGAAAAAAAATAATTTACAGCTGTAAAGTATACATTAGTATTATAAAACATAAAACGATAAAAAGACAAACATTCCAAAAGTTACAAAAAAATTATGACTTTAAAAAACGAATAAAAAGAATTCTATTATTGGAGTGGTATGCCTTCTTTCAACCCGTATGGAATGTCAATACCGAAGATTCTAAAAGTCAAAGATGAATTTAAATTGTCTACTTCATTTAATAATTTTAAATGCTGCAGATTTACATGGTTTTCTAGATATTTCAGTACACTTGTTTGTCAACAAATAATCCAGTTTTTTTGTGTTTGAACAGAATTATTCCTCCTGGAGTATAGGATCTTTGTTCTATGGTGGTAGTATTTAACATTCTCAGACTTATGACTTAATGAGGCAATTCATGGTTTTACTACACTAGTCTTCGGGCCTTCAACAGTTTACAGGGTCAAAGGAGGAATATGGGTGAGGTTTTAAAGGGACCGTTCATGATTTCACAGTTCTCTCTTTCTTACACTTTCTTAAAATATTTGTGCAACCTAATCCAATGAAAATTTTTTTTATTGGAAATACTTTTAACTTTCTCAAAAACTAAATAATAATAAATCTTGATTTTTCAACAAATTTGAGGCCGGGGGTGAGGATTGTTGGATTGTTAATGCATACTTAACAGTTACTTCGTTAAATAGTTATAAGGGAAATCAAGAGTAAGAAAAGATTAAAAAAAACCATAACAATTTCGAATTGCAAAATTAGAGTTTTAAGGTTTAAAACATAAGTTTTTCAATTTTTGAAAGTTTTTTTTTTAAATTTTAGAACGATGGTTTAGAATGACCAAATTCTGGTTTAAAGAACCAAAAAAAATACGTTCACTAAATATTTGCACAAATTCTAAATGATTAATATTAGACAACAAATATTTTTAACAGACACATTGTATTAAAATAAAGTTAATAAAAGTTAGTAAAAACATTATTCTGCTCTTATAACTCTCAATATGTTTTTCTATATAATAAAGCTGTTTGCTCATATGTAGTATATATATGTATAAGGTAACTATGGCTGGCTAAACGGCTGGACCCAATTGACTGATTTTTTAAAAGGAAACCCAAGGGTACTCTGGGGGTAACATAGGCTAAAGAAATTCGAGATTTTTTTTGAAAACTTTTATTTTTATTTTTCAAATTACCTTTTAATTGACTATTTACAAGCTAACCAACTGCAAAGATTGACAAAGTGAATGTTTAAATGGAAAGGAAACGGGGAAATGGCAAAAATGAAATGATTTTTATAAAGAAATTTTAATACTTTAAAACTTCATTCTTAACATGTTTTAACTAACTAACCATTGAACACAGTAACCTTTTGACAAACCAACCATCTAACTAACCACCCTGCTAACTTTATAATCATAACATTTGGTTTGGAATTTCCCCTCCTTCATTTTTGCGTGCTTTAATAAAACTACCTTAATTCTACATTCCTAAGAAATGAGGCAACATCTCCCAGCCTTCCTCCTTCTATGGCCTTTTTATTTTTAAAGAAAATCTGTTTTGCAAAAACACTTTTTTGATGCAAATGTAAAGGGTGAAATTCTTACAACTTAACTGTTATTTTCCATGAAAATAATTATTTTTTTCAATAGTTTTTATTTATAAATTTTGTTTATTACACGTGTTGATACCTTTTTTAGTTACAATATAATTTATAATTTTTGCAATATCCAATTCCACATTTTTTTAGGAATATGGAATGTTTACAATTTGTTAAGAATTCATGTTAAAATAAAAAAAAAACAATTTAAAATAATATACAATAATGCCTGGTAATGAAAGACTAGTTCAGTTACAAAATTTCTTCATGATCATTTTTTCTTTTTTGTACAATTGAAAATCCATTATTCCTGTTTACTTCAGAAGATAGGAATCATTGAACCAGAGTGGCCAAGTTTGATTCGGTTTTCGGGGAAAAACTGTTCTTCCCCCAGGTAGAAATCTGAAGCATGGCTCATCACTGAGCCACGGCTTGACTCATAATCTGAGTCAAAATCGCTAAAGATTCCACGGAGCTTTCTTTTAATGGTGTTGTTGGTGATCATGTCCACTGTAGTTTTGTGTTGTATGCAACAGCTTTCCTCAGCATCTTCTATAACAATATCAACAGCAGCAACAGCAAGAGAGTGGTCGTCAACAGTAGAAATCAATGGATCAGCCGTTGAAGTCACCAGAATATCAACAACCTTAGATTTAAGATGGTTTAGTCTCAGTGGTGAAAGGATGCGGTCGATGAAATGAAGAGGGGTTAGAATACTGATAGTCCAGTTTAGTTTCACCAGGATCAGTTGTTCCCAAACCTTTACTTCTTCCCTGGTAAAGCAGTTGTCTGTGTATTCACATATCTGGGATACAGAGACATCTAGTGGTGTGATCTTAAAACTGATGAGAAGGCAGACGCCAGCAGCCAGCTGGAGCTGAGATCTGCTGATAGCAGTGGTGGCAAGAAATCTGAAAAATGTATGAAATACATTTAGATTGTCAAATCATATGTTCACATTCTTTACTCTACTGTTGAATTTTAATAACAAAATGCCTATTATATGTATAATTAAATTTCTGGTGTTAACCTTGTGCCAATTGGATGTACTTAAAAATATTAAAACTCCGGGTTTTACGAATGGGGTTAGGCAGTTATGTGAATATTAATATTTGTTATGAAATATTTTTTTATGAAGTTTTTCATATTCTCCATTTTTTTGAATTTCTTAAATCAAAATCTACAAAATGTTAAGACTCCAAAAAAGAAACTCGAGATCAATGATACTCTTTTAAATTTCGGGCTCTGTGTTCAAAATTGGTTTTCTGAATTTCTAGATTTTTCATGAAAAAAATCTTCCTTCTTACCTATCAAGAGTATAAACTGCACGTAGAAATACAGATTCATCATCTGTAACATCATGACAGACGTCATACATCCAGTCAACAGCTATCTGTCTATTCGTAGATGTTACAGCTGTTTGAGAGTTCTCCATTAGATGTTAACTCTGCGCTGTATCAACGGTAACTAGCGAGGTACGCGCGGGGATTAGAAAGCCGCGCTCTTTTGGGCGCTTCAGTTTTAAAAATCATGCGCGTCCTGGACTCAATAACAGTAAGTAGTAAGTAGGGGGGGGGGGCGTCGTCAGAAGATGAAGGGGATGGGGGGAGGGCAGAAAAAGTTTATGAAAACAAGCGGATTATAAAATTAAATAACCGCCGAAAACCTTCTTTTTATAAAGTTTTTAACGTTTTTTTGTAAAATCTTTGTCAGTAGAAATTAGGTATTTCTGAAAAGTAAATTATAAGATTTATTAACAAGTAAAAGTAAAAAAAAAACAATATTGTGTTGAGATTAGTTTCAGTAAATATAGTCTTATCATTAATATTTGTTTAGGACTTTTCATTCATTTTGAGAAAAAATAAAATTTCAGAGTAGCATGATATAACAGTATCAATGTTAAGTAAATATTGGTTTATATATTCATTTTTTCTTCAAGGACTGGATCCACTAACACCTGGATTTTATGCAATAAAAACTTGACAACATAAATAACTCACGAGGTTCTGTGATTTTATTTATGTATCAAGGCTCTATGGGGGGGGGGTCACCCTAATATTATAAATATTAAATGCTTAAAACATTTGGGTATTTACATTATTATACATATATATGGTAATAATTACAATGATGTGTCAAAAGAGTAAACATTTTGCTAAATAAAATTCATATATATTTTCATATTTTTTGTGAATGTCAACATAATAACAAAAGCAAAAAAGCTTCAAAATCTTCCTGCTTGAGGAATCATCTGCATAAAAAACTTACTATTCTTGCTATTTGTGAAATAGCTGCTTTCCTTTCAGTGCTCATGAACATCTGAAGCCCATTTAAGTTTCTCCCATGGTCAGATTTAAAGATAGAGTTTTCAAAACATCTATAAATTATCTAATAATCATGATAAACAGATTTGGTAATTCGCTGTATAAATACTCCTGTTGGGTTTTTAATATTATCTACAAAATCGACCCATAAATGTTAATATTGTGGCTTTTCAGGCTAAAAATAGGAACAATAATTTTTATCTTTGCCTCTCATTCAAAAACCCATAAACATATATGCTGATCAAAATGGTGAATTTGTTTATCACGGAATTAAGATAATTTACAAACTTTTTAAAAGTTCTAGCACTAAAGCTGATCGTAGGAGAAGCTGAACTGTGCTTTTTGAACATATTTCTATTTGCGCAGAAAGCTAAATAACCTACAAACCAAGCCAATTTTTGCTTATTTATTTCTTTTTCTTGGATGTACACATTAGATTTAGTTATTAATGAGAATTAATCAATATTTGATCAAGGAAAAATATAAAATTATCAGATTTTTGTACAATTTGATAAATCTAAAAGACCTAATATTTGAGTATTGTCAAATGAATGGATGCTCAGAATTTCAAAAAAATTTCGTTTTCGTAAAATTTTAAAAAATCCACGAGAATTATTTTTTAAATCCTCAAGAATTTGTACTATTGTTTTATCGAAGAGAAAATGCTGAAAGATTGAGCAACAATTATAAGTTAAAATAGAAGATGAGCGCAAAGCGCACTGATAACTTTATTCTTTTGTACCAATCAATCTTAAAAGCTATCGTTGCTATCGCTGTGCATGTGCTATTAGAAATTTGGAGCTATTTCTAAGAAAACTATAAATCTAACAAAGATTTTGTAGCTAATTCAAAGCTATCTATGTAGCTAGATGGTAAGGTTAGGGTAGCAGGCAAGTTCCATTTAATAATGTAAGACCTACTCAAAATGTTCTCACGGGTCTAAGGAATTTCCTGAAATTGCATAACTGCCTAACTAGCGCACTATTCCTCCCCATGGTTTTAGATACATTAGATAGATAGATATATATAAGTATTGATGCATATTTAGATTGGAACTCTTAGTTCTAGCTCCAGGTTATGGTTAACTCCTAGTCCTGTGCTAAAGTAGGGGACCTGGAGATCTAAGAACTCATATGAGTGTTTACGGAGATTGTCCATTGTTAAGGATAAGGGGGGGGGGGGGGTAAAATTGTGCTTAAGGAAATGTTAGATAACTAAAAAAATTGCAATTTCTAATAAACCGATCAAGATTTTAGACACTTTTTTATTCTGTAAATGTAAATAGTTCATGCATCAGCACATGGATATTAAACGCGTAAAATCAAACCCACAAATACTCTCTCCCTTCTTCTCAAATCTACACAACCCCCCCCCCCCCCATTCCTCAATTATTAATGAGGGTATGCATGATGCAGAAGCATGTTGAGCAGACCAGTCTACCACATTCCAGAAAAATAGGGATACCCCCATCATATTCATCTCAACATGGGGGGGGGGGGCTTGGTTTTAAATTGCTTATAGAACTTAGGTTGGTTAATAAATAATAATATAAATATTATGCTTTCAACTTTATTGGGAGTTTAAACCATCACTACTAAATTAAGATATTACTGTTGAATCAAATATCGTTGTATCAAATGGACTTCTAGGAGCAACCCTCATTTAGTTCCTTGTTGTTGCCCCTGAGGGGTGGTGGCGTGGGAACGTGCCCCTGGACATGAGGCACTAGCCTTATATTCAAGCAGTGGCCTGGATCCGACCAAAGGCATGCAATCTATACCCAGGTCTATACCTAGTAATTGCTTGTTGATGGAGAGATGAAATAAAGATGAATCAAAGTTGATGAATTAATGAATAGATGAATCAGAGTTGATGAATTAATGAATAGATGAATCAGAGTTGATGAGTTAATTAATAGATGAATCGGAGTTGATGAATTAATGAATAGATGAATCAGAGTTAATGAATTAATGAATCAGAGTTGATGAATTAATAAATAAATGAATCAGAGTTAATGAATTAATGAATGGACGAATCAGAGTTGATGAATTAATGAATAGAGGAAATCAGAGTTAATTATTTAATGAATAGATGAATCAGAGTTGATGAATTAATGAATAGATGAATCAGAGTTAATGAATAGATGAATCAGAGTTGAGGAATTAATGAATAGATGAATCAGATTTGATGAATTAATGAATCGATGAATCAGATTTGATGAATAGATGAATTAGCGTGGATGAACTAATGAATGAATGAATCAGAGTTAATGAATTAATGAATGGATGAATCATAGTTGATGAATTAATGAATAGATGAATTCGAGTTGATGAATTAATGAATAGATAATCATAGTTGATGAATAGATGAATCATTGTTGATGAATTAATGAATAGATAAATCATAGTTGATGAATTAATGAATCGATGAATCAGAGTTGATGAATAGATGAATCAGCGCGGATGAATCGGGTTGATGAATCAGAATTAATAAAAAGATGAATCAGAGTTGATGAAAAGATGAATTAGCGTGGATGAATCAGAATAAATGAAAAGATGAATCAGAGTTGATGAATAGATGAATAAGAGTCAATGAATTTAGAGTTAATGAATCAAAGTTGATGAATTAGAGTTGATAAATAGATGAATAAATTAATCATAGAGTATGCAGGGTTACCAACAAAGGAAGAAACTGCAAAGATGACCAAAATCTCATAAAATATAATAACAAGACAAAAATCTGAACTGTTATAAATGAAGATCAATATTTAAAGCATTTGAAATTATAATGATTTAAATTCATTCTGATATACGCGAAATAATGGATAATTAAAAGGTTATACAGGGTTACCCACAAAGGATGAGACTGTAAAGACGACCTAAATATGGAGATTCCAAGGTTGAATTAAGTCTTCTGCCTTGATTAAAATCTTTGTTTGACGTATTTAATAATTTGAAAAAGAACGAAACAGTTTTGAAGTTGCAGGAAGCATGCATGAGGAAAGAGATGGATGAATTCCATGCAGTTGTCTTGAAGTCTCATCCTTTGTAGAATGATTTTAGAGAATGATGGAATAAATGTTTGATAAAATAGAAATGAAAGAAAGATGGAAAAGCATGGCACGTGTTTCCCGACCATCCCCCCCCTTCCCCCCTCCCCTTACTATGGTTAACATTTATTGCCTACTTTGTCTGGTGACCCCCCCCCCCCCGACCTTTTATAGACCTAGTTTTACATTTATAATTGCAATTAAGTTTATTTGCCTGAACCTCCACCTGGCCCCTGGATGGGAGGGGGAGGGAGGGTGGTCGGGTCCCTGAGAGGCACGGGTCAAAATTAACAAGGTCACAGGAGAGAGACCGTTGAACAATAGACATGGTCATTTAACAATTCCAATTCTCGTTAAAATATATTTCTCAAATTTTGTTTCAATACATTTTAGATCAATTTCAGGTTGCCGTTCTGCTATTTTCTGGCGAACACTGTATGGTCCAGTGAATTCTGAAACGAGATTTCTGAAAATGAATTTGATTCAATAGATGTAATGTTTACAACTTTACATGTCTATCGGATAAGTCTACAAAAATCTAAACAGTATTCCAAGCCTCCCGAAAAATGTAGTAAAAATAATAACTAAATATAAATATAAACATAAATATAGAAAAATAGAGAATAACAGAAAAAACATTTGATTTAAAAAAGAATCAGTAAAAGAACAAAAAACGTTTGTTCAAACAAAATATGAACAAAAAATGGTATTTAAAAAAAGAATATCAAGCTTTACAATAAACATATGCTGTGTTTTGAACAGAAGTCCTCAACCAATCCATCACATGTTCAGAAAGACAATTCAGGAATAGTTAAGGAAACGGTTTAGTACGATTGGATAATGTAAACCGTATATTAAAAGTTCCTCTATGTCTTAGTCTTAGTCTAGACTCTAGTCTTAGTTGAGACTCTAGTCTTAGTTGAGACTCTAGTCTTAGTTGAGAATCTAGTCTTAGTTGAGACTCTAGTCTTAGTTGAGACTCTAGTCTTAGTTGAGACTCTAGTCTTAGTTGAGACTCTAGTCTTAGTTGATACTCTAGTCTTAGTTGAGACTCTAGTCTTAGTTGAGACTCTAGTCTTAGTCTAGACTCTAG